TATGTGCCGGGGGGCTAGGGTCAGTCTGTTATATCTGGTGTAATTCTCCTGTCTTATCTGGTGTCCTGTGTGAATTTAAGTATGCTCCCTCTATTTATCTCGCTCTCCCTCCACTCCCGGAGGACCTGAGCCCTAGGATCATGCCTCAGGACTACCTGGCCTGATGACTCCTGGATCTCCCCAGTCCACCTGGTCGTGCTGCTGCTCAACTGTTCCGCCTGCGGCTAGGGAACCCTGACCTGTTCACCGGACATGATACCTTGTCCCGGACCTGCTGTTTTCGACTCTCTCTCTCCCTTTACTGCACCTGCTGTCTCGACCTCTGAATGCTCGGCTATGAAAAGCCAACTGACATTTACTCCTGAGGTACTGATCTGTTGCACCCTCTACAACCACTGTGATTATTATTTGACCCTGCTGGTCATCTATGAACGTTTTAACATCTTGAAGAACAACCTGGCCTTAAATGGCCATGTACTCTTATAATCTCCACCCGGCACAGCCAGAAGAGGACTGGCCACCCCTCAGAGCCTGGTTCCTCTCTAGGTTTCTTCCTAGGGTCCTGCCTTTCTAGGGAGTTTTTCCTAGCTGCTATGCTTCTACATCTGCATTGCTTGCTGTTTGGGGTTTTAGGCTGTGTTTCTGTATAGCAATTTGTGACATCTGCTGATGTAAAAAGGGCTTTATAAATACATTTGATTGATTGATTGAGCCCATAGACATAGGCCCTGTTCGAATACTTTGAAAATGCAACTTTCCCTTCTCCGTTCCTTGAAGTAATCATTGATCGGACATGTCTGGATTGGTGAACGCTATGAACTGGAGTTCTTGCTTTAACCTGTCCAATCATGCTAGATCAGTTATTAGTCCAAGGAGGAGAGGAAGGAACGGAAGCATTTGAACAGTTTTTAAATAGGTCCAGAGATGGAGGGAGAAAGTCAGTTGTAGACTAATGCCCAGGTGAACAAATGTCAACAGACGTGAACATGGACAACGACTAGTAAACAAATAGTCTCAATCTCATACATAAACAGGAAACACTCATGACTGATTATAACAGATTATGAAACTGGACAGATAAGTGGAAGCGCTAAGGTCAAAGTATTGGCATTATCTTTGCCAAGTTAACCATTGACAGAACCTAGAAGAAAAGAAAAAGACCAGAGCGCTTACCATCCGCACAGAATGTAAGGGAGTAATGATTTGTATGTGGATGTGACTAGCGACCACAAGCGAGTGAAGTATTTTTCTGTGTAGAGCTGTACAGCTTGTGTAGTCTGGACAGAGTCATTTCACACTGCTGTATGCATTTAAATCCTCTCTATGTCATTAGAAAAGGTGTGAGAAGTTGTCTAGACATTTGCCTTTGAGGCACTACACCCGCTTCTCCTTCACCCAAATTCAGATAGCTGATGTTCTGAAAGAGCTGCAAAATCTGGACCCCTACAAATCAGCTGGGCTAGACAATCTGGACCCTTTCTTTCTAAAATTAGCCACCGAAATTGTCGCAACCCCTATTACTAGCCTGTTCAACCTCTCTTTCATATCGTCTGAGATCCCCAGAGATTGGAAAGCTGCCGCGGTCATCCCCCTCTTCAAAGGGGGTGACACTCTAGATCCAAACTGTTACAGACCTATATCCATCCTGCCCTGCCTTTCGAAAGTATTTGAAAGCCAAGTTAAAAAAAACAGATCACCGACCATTTCGAATCCCACCGTACCTTCTCCGCTATGCAATCTGGTTTCCGAGCTGGTCATGGGTGCACCTCAGCCACGCTCAAGGTCCTAAATTATATTATAACCGCGATCGATAAAAGACAGTACTGTGCAGCCGTCTTCATCGACCTGGCCAAGGCTTTCGACTCTGTCAATCACCGCATTCTTATTGGCAGACTAAATAGCCTTGGTTTCTCAAATGACTGCCTCCCCTGGTTCACAAACGACTTCTCAGATAGAGTTCAATGTGTCAAATCGGAGGGCCTGTGGTCTGGACCTCTGGCAGTCTCTATGGGGGTGCCACAGGGTTCAATTCTCGGGCCGACTCTATTCTCTGCGTATATATCAATGATGTCGCTCTTGCTGCTGGTGACTCTCAGATCCACCTCTACGCAGACGACACCATTTTGTATACATCTGGCACTTCATTGGACACTGTGTTAACAAACCTCCAAACGAGCTTCAATGCCATACAACACTCCTTCAGTAGCCTCCAATTGCTCTTAAACGCTAGTAAAACGAAATGCATGCTCTTCAATCGAACGCTGCTTGCACCCGCCCGCCCGACTAGAATCACTACTCTCGGCGGGTCTGACTTAGAATATGTGGACAACTACAAATACCAAGGTGTCTGGTTAGACCGTAAACTCTCCTTCCAGACTCACATTAAGCATCTCCAATCCAAAGTTAAATCTAGAATCGGCTTCTTATTTCACAACAAAGCATCCTTCACTCATGCTTCCAAACATGCCCTCGTAAAACTGACTATCCTACCGATCCTTGACTTCGGCGATGTCATATACACAATAGCCTCCAACACTCTACTCAGCAAATTGGATGTAGTCTATCACAGTGCCATCCGTTTTGTCACCAAAGCCCCATATACTACCCACCATTGTGACCTGTACGCTCTCGTTGGCTGGCCCTCACTACATAGTCGTCGCCAAACCCACTGGCTCCAGGTCGTCTATAAATCACTGCTAGGCAAATCCCTGCCTTATCTTAGCTCATTGGTCACCATAGCAACACCCACCCGTAGTATGCGCTCCAGCAGGTATATCTCACTGGTCATCCCCAAAGCCAAAACCTCCTTTGGCCGCCATTCCTTCCAGTTCTCTGCTGCCAATGACTGGAACGAACTGCAAAAATCTCTGAAGCTGGAGACTCTTCTCTCCCTCACTAACTTTAAGCATCAGTTGTCAGAGCAGCTTACCGATCACTGCACATGTACACAGCCAATCTGTAATTAGCCCACCCAACTACCTCATCCCCATATTGTTATTTATTTTGCTCATTTGCACCCCAGTATCACTATTTGCACATCATCTTCTGCACATCTATCACTCCAGTGTTAATACTCAATTGTAATTACAGTGAGGGAAAAAAGTATTTGATCCCTTGCTGATTTTGTACGTTTGCCCACTGACAAAGAAATGATAAGTCTATAATTTTAATGGTAGGTTTATTTGAACAGTGAGAGACAGAATAACAACAACAAAATCCAGAAAAACGCATGTAAAAAATGTTATAAATTGATTTGCATTTTAATGAGAGAAATAAGTATTTGACCCCTCTCAATCAGAAAGATTTCTGGCTCCCAGGTGTCTTTTATACAGGTAAAGAGCTGAGATTAGGAGCACACTCTTAAAGGGAGTTCTCCTAATCTCAGTTTGTTACCTGTATAAAAGACTCCTGTCCACAGAAGCAATCAATCAGATTCCAAACTCTCCACCATGGCCAAGACCAAAGAGCTCTCCAAGGATGTCAGGGACAAGATTGTAGACCTATAAGGCTGGAATGGGCTACAAGACCATCGCCAAGCAGCTTGGTGAGAAGGTGACAACTGTTGGTGCGATTATTCGCAAATGGAAGAAACACAAAAGAACTGTCAATCTCCCTCGGCCTGGTGCTCCATGCAAGATCTCACCTCGTGGAGTTGCAATGATCATGAGAACGGTGAGGAATCAGCCCAGAACTACATGGGAGGATCTTGTCAATGATCTTAAGGCAGCTGGGACCATTGTCACCAAGAAAACAATTGGTAACACACTACACCGTGAAGACTGAAATCCTGCAGCGCCCGCAAGGTCCCCCTGCTCAAGAAAGCACATATACATGCCCGTCTGAAGTTTGCCAATGAACATCTGAATGATTCAGAGGAGAACTGGGTGAAAGTGTTGTGGTCAGATGAGACCAAAATGGAGCTCTTTGGCATCAACTCAACTCGCCATGTTTGGAGGAGGAGGAATGCTGCCTATGACCCTAAGAACACCATCCCCACCGTCAAACATGGAGGTGGAAACATAATGCTTTGGGGGGGGTTTTCTGCTAAGGGGACAGGACAACTTCACCGCATGAAAGGGACGATGGACGGGGCCATGTACCGTCAAATCTTGGTTGAGAACCTCCTTCCCTCAGCCAGGGCATTGAAAATGGGTCGTGGATGGGTATTCCAGCATGACAATGACCCAAAACACACGGCCAAGGCAACAAAGGAGTGGCTCCAGACCTTAATCCCATAGAAAATCTGTAGAGGGAGCTGAAGGTTCGAGTTGCCAAACGTCAGCCTCGAAACCTTAATGACTTGGAGAAGATCTGCAAAGAGGAGTGGGACAAAATCCCTCCTGAGATGTGTACAAACCTGGTGGCCAACTACAAGAAACGTCTGACCTCTGTGATTGCCAAAAAGGGTTTAGCCACCAAGTACTAAGTAATGTTTTGCAGAGGAGTCAAATACTTATTTCCCTCATTAAAATGCAAATCAATATATAACATTTTTGACATGCGTCTTTCTGGATTTTTTTGTGTTATTCTGTCTCTCACTGTTCAAATAAACCTACCATTAACATTATAGACTGATCATTTCTTTGTCAGTGGGCAAACGTACAAAATCAGCAGGGAATCAAATACTTTTTTCCCCTCACTATTTTGCACTATGGCCTATTTATTGCCTTACCTCCATAACTTACTACATTTGCACACACTGTATATATATTTTATATTTTTCTATTGTGTTATTGACTGTACGTTTTTGTTTATCCCATATGTAACTGTGTGTTGTTGTTGTTTTTAATTGCACTGCTTTGCTTTATCTTGGCCAGGTCACAGTTGTAAATGAGAACTTAACTTACCTGGTTAAATAAAGGTTAAATAAAAATAAATAAACAACCAAGAGTCACTCTCACACACCCCCTGTGGACCCTCCATTAAGTAGGTCATGGTGGTGGTGAGTCTGGTGATCCTTGACCCTGAGTGCTGGGCTATGGCCTGATCTGCATACTCACTATGTACCACATACTGCTCCACTTGGCGTCGTTGAAGAAGATGGACTGGGCGGGGCTAGTCTGGGCGGGGCTAGAGAGAGGGTGAGGGGCCGCCTTGTAATCCCTCTTGATCCGCCTCTTCACCACCTGCTGCTGAATCCACTCCACCTAAAACAGAGGGCATACCATTGGACAGTGAGTAAAAACAATATCAAACATCCAATCACTGAACGGGAATATGCAGGATTTATGGGCAAGCATGTTTTGGGTGGACAATGGGAGATGGAGGGATGTGCGTGGAGAAATACATTAACAAAGTAAAACACTGGCTGACAGACAAGTGTGCACATAAATGTGAACATATGCATGTGCATGCGCGCGCGTGCACACACTACATCTCAGGTCAAATCAATCTCTCAAACCGAATCTCTCACAGAATTCCTTGGCTCATCTCAGAAATGTGGGAGCAATGGGTAGGATTTTTTCAGATTTCGAAATCGGGATGATGGACAAGGAAATCTCAAACCTGGCCAAATTAGAGCCTTATACTTGATAGGTAGCTAAATAAATGACTGTTGCCTCTCACTTTCACACAAGGTAGCCTAATCGTTCAGGTAAAACAAGAAAAAAAGACTTCATACAATTTTTTTTTTACAAAAATTAAAAATGGGTAGTGATGTAGACAATCATCTGAGAGTGAATGACCTATTTAAAAAATCTGTCAGTTTCTCCAGAGAGCGGAGGAGAGAAAAGAGAGCGGAGGAGGGAAAAAACATTGAGAAAAGAGAGAGATGGTGGTAGACCAAGAAAAACACAGGCAGAAAGATTGAAGGGGGGTGGGGAACACTGAGGGAGAGAGAGAGATTTCATAACCTAGGATGTAGTTATGAAGTCTAAAAAGGAAAGAGAAAAAATAATAATTTAACAGTGCTGGAGGGCGATCAGACTGGTGTTAATGCTTAGACAAGACAGCAGGCGGAAGTCTCTGCTCATTTTACACTGTCATTAACATCAGTTTCAAAGCAACCGTTTACACACCTCACTAAGCTCAGAACAACAGCGCCATCAGTATGTGTGTGTGTCTATCTCTGGCTCTGCCTACACCATGTCTATGTCCGTGTGTTTGTGCATGACGAGCGTAAGCCTTATGCAGCAGTCCTCAGACAGTCAACTGGACAGGAGGTCTGACCCCAGCAGCCAGTCATCCATTAGCTCCACCACTGACCTGAGAGTGCACTAAGAGGGAGAGGAACCGGATCTGATCCCTCTTCCTTCAGATGGTGAACTGGACTGGGGGCTTTTGAAATACGACTGCTTCTGCTTTGCCCCTTCTTAAGGGTTTGCAGGTGGCTCCCTCTCTATTGCAGTCTCTCCCTCTCGCACTGACTGTGTCAGTAACCAAGGGCAACCAGGACCCAAAAGGGCCAGCCGTACAGAAGGAGCGTCAGTTGAAGTCAGACTTTTGTAATCATGATCACTGATCTGACATGAAAGTATAGGTAGAAGTGATGGGGTCCTTGCCTATACCTATCCAAATCTGTTATAAATCAGTGATTACTCTGAGGAAGTCCCATGTGGCTCAGTTGGTAGTGCATCGCGCATGCAATGCCAGGGCTGTGGGTTCGAAAATGCATGCACTCACTTACTGTAAGTCGCTCTGGATAAGAGTGTCTGCTAAATAAATAAATATATATATATTTTTTGTATTTGAATGGGGTAAAAGGTCCCTACGGTGAGGTCACACTCAAGCACCCCTTCTCCAAGCCATGGAGACCTGCGTGCCAACAGGTAGACCGCACAACGTACACACACAAGGTGTGCCCGCTACACCCAGACTCGCACACAAACACACAGAGATGACTTGCATTATACAACTAAGCATAACAACGTGATTAGTTCTATAACATTTTAGTCATTTAGCAGACGCTCTTATCCAGAGCGACTTACAGGAGCAATTAGGGTTAAGTGCCTTGCTTAAGGGCACAGACAGATTTTTCACCTAGTCGGCTCGGGGATTAGAACCAGCGACCTTTCAGTTACTGGCACAACGCTCTTACCCACTAAGCTACCTGCCCAAAATCAGCACGAAAGGAGACTGGCATCAGAATGATAGGACACTGATCCCTGAAAAGTAGTGATGGGAACAGACGGACTCCCAGCTCAGACTGCAGGGCCAGCTGACATCATTTACACATCTCCTTCCTGTCAACCCCTCACACAGGAGAGAAACCAGAGGAAGAAGAGAGGCAAAGAGAACACTGCTCTCTCTCGCTCCCTCTCTCTCTCCCCCTCTCTCCCTCCCTCCCTCCCTCCATGAACTGTGATGCCTGTCAATGCAAAACTGCCTCCTGCCCAGAGGGAAGTATTGTGGAATATGTTCAAAATGGCCAATGTTTCAAGTGAGTATAATACATCTCACATTGATGACAACTATGCTCAGCAGTGCTATGGTTGGTAGACTTTTCGGCGGTGTGCTGAACTACAATTGTGCCCTGGACTGTACGCATCATCAGGGCAAGACCAACGGCGGTGTTCTGAGACTCATCAATAATGCAGGCGGGTGTCGATGACCCCGCTGGGCGGCCTGCGAACACTGTGAGGTGGCGATCGGGATAGGCTTACCTTGGGCTCCATCGAGATGAAGCTGTGGCCACCGCGACTGGAGAGCGTCGACCTTTTGATGGTCCTGCTGTGAAAAAAGTGATAGTGGTCCTTCAGGTCGCCAATCTGCCGAGGAAAACACACGCGATCAGTCTACAGTAAATACGTTGGTTGCATCCGGAATGCAGTGAATAGGGTGCCATTTCAGATGCATGCATTCACTTTTATGTACCAAGAAGACATCAGGGGGTGGCATTATGAATGTAAATGAGACAAAATTAACATTTATTTGGTTCATAATGAGCAGTAAAGACGTAAAGACGTCAACCGAGTTGACGGGAACCACAAACCTCCTAAACAAGACAGACAGACAGACAGAGAGACAGACATGAGGCAAGCAAAGGGTGATTAACTTCAATAATTCAGAGGTAGATTATCAAACTGTCATGGCTACCAGGTGTCATATACTCTTTACAGGAGCTACCTGAGGGCCCATATCACGCCTGTATATCCTTTCAGGCAACTCACAACAATAGTTCACCCCATAATACAATGAGTCGTATTCATTAGGGTACACCGTAAGAAAACATTGCATAACGTTTTGCAGCGGAAAACAAGAGTTTCTTATTAGACAAGTTCAGGTAGTCCTTCCCTCTTGCAGTAGCATAGGGTCATTTCCATGTAAAAGGACCCATAAGCACCAACCAACATGTGAAGTTTATAGGAGCATATCAAATTTGGTGTCAAATGAAAGCAGAGTCTATATTTTGGGGAAATGAAGCAATAGATACGTTTTTCAACCATTTTCCATCCTAAAAATTTGGAATAAGCGAAGACTTTGATTTCTGGTCACACAGATGGAAAAGGGGTCTTAAAAACATCTCCTATAGAGTCTTAAAAAGGTATTAGAAATACATCAAAACACAATAATGTTACAGTAAATGCCCCTACCAACTAATATCAACATTTATATTTAGTTTTGCAGAAATGATTTGCATTTTGTACGTTTTAGAAATATTGCCTAGTGTCTTGTCATTCTGTTACCAAAAACCCACGTTTAAGATATTTTCTCATTTCTCTCCCTCGAGGGAGGATTATGAAAGTTCACAGAAGTAACAAGTAAAAGGTAAACCTACCAATTAGTTAGTGTTTTTACTGATAACAATCTTGTTTATTAATTATTATGTTTTTTAAACGCGTCACTCTTACCAAATAGGAAAATCTGTAACAAAATGACTGCAATTGAATTGGCCACAATGTGAAATCATAGTAGTCACAAACCACAGTTGCAGTAGAGCACAGTACAGTAAAGAAAAGTATAGTATAGTTAAATACAGTACAGTTCAGTAGAGCACACATGAGTAGAGTACAGTATAATGTAATATACTCTACTGTACTCTATGGTACTTTTCTTCACTGTACTTTTCTTTACTGTACTGTGCTGTCCAAACACGTGAAACATAGACGTCTGATTGGTACAGATTTGGTCCGGTCCGGACCAACCAAATGTGGTCTTGCTTGGGGGCGGAGCTTATTAGAATAATAGCCAGTGAGTAGAATTATACCCGAACATGCAATGGAGGATATTACATTTTCTACCTTGGTGTACCTATTCAGGATACATCATCATGACGAGAATGACTTTCATATGCATTTCTGTTTAGTACAGCTCAAGGACCCATGATGTCATTCTGTTACTGTCATTCTGTTACCAGGATCGCTTACTGTAGTTCAATACCCAAAATACATTTTTCAAACTCAAGATATCATTGCTGACACCCCATTCTTTCTGCAGACATCTTTTAATCTTAATTCGTAGTAGATATTTAACATAGTTTTTGGAAAACGTGGTCACATAAAAAACTGAGGGAGATTTTACTGTAATTCTGTTACCAAAAGTTGCATCTGCACTGTTCCTAATGTAAATGTGTTTTAGTAAAATTGTCTGTGGCAATTGTTAAAAGTAGACTTCTGCATATACACAGAATATACCAAACATTAGGAACACCTTCCTAATATTGAGTTACACCCCCCCCTTTTGCCCTCAGAACAGCCTCAAATCGTCGGGGCATGGACTCTACAAGGTGTCGAAAGTGTTCCACAGGGATGCTAGCCCATATTGACTCCAATGCTACCCACAGTTGTGTCAAGTTGGCTGGATGTCCTTTGGGTGGTGGACCATTCTTGATACACACGGGAAACTGAGCTTGAAAAACCCAGCAGTGTTGCAGTTCTTGACACAAACCGATGAGTCTGGCACCTACTACCATACCCCGTACAAAGGCACAAATCTTTTGTCTTGCCCATTCACCCTCTGAATGGCACACATACACAATCAATGTCTCAATGTCTCAAGGCTTAGAAATCCTTCTTTAACCCGGTCTCCTCCCCCTCATCGACAATGTTTGAAGTGGATTTAACAAGTCACATCAATAAGGGATCATAGCTTCACTTGGATTCACCTGGTCAGTCCATGTCATGGAAAGAGCAGTGTACATATGGTTTCTGATGGTTTTTGCTTGGCATACATTCTAAAGTGAAAAAATGAGTCTCAGCGTCACTGTTACAGTGGAATTGCCCATAGACCCAGAGGGCATGCTTTGACCGCATCACTGTCAGAACGTGGAAGACACAAGGCAACAGCAGGTAGCCTATATCATACCCAAAAGCGTCCGGGCTCCAGAAAGACATGAAGCCCAACATTCTAAAATTGTAAATGTCGAAATCCAAATAAAGACATTTCTGACTTAATCTTTGGTCTCACAACAACTTCCCTCCACCTCACACAGCAAGAGATAAATGGTGCATTTGGATGCTGTCGGAAATTCGGAGGTACGAGTGTGACAAGTGAGACAACTGAGGGACCTCCGAGCGAGTTGGTAGGGGAAAGGGAATGGTTTGGGATTCAGCAATAACCAGTTCACTACCTGCTTAAAAATTGAGAAAGCCCTCATGCTAAAACAAGCTTTGTGTCAAGTACGCCCTCTATCCAACTCTATGTGCCACAATGATGAAACCCGAGTTTACGAATTGTAGCGTTCCATCATTAGCTGTGTTTCCATGAACTTGTTCAATAATTTTCTGTTGCAATTTCAAAAGTTTGTATAGAAAATAGATGCAACAATTGCCTACTGCGGTGCATTTCCATTTAACTGTCTTGTATGGATAAAACAGCTGGATGTAATGAGTCACACCAACAACAACAACAACAACAAAAAACTTGCGCAAAAACCTATTGTCAAATAAAAATGAAGTGGTTGAAGTGTTTCCATTACCCATTTAGGCAAATTGCACATTAATAAATTGGCGACAGCCTGTATGCCCTCCCACCTATCGGTTTCATGTCACAGGTCGCCAGCGAAAATCAGCATGGATAGAATGCAAGGACTGACAAATATTTGCCATAATTCTCATGTGCCGATGTATCACCACGGTCCTGTGCCAATGGTGAAATTTGCGCTCCTCTAGATCTGAAATAATTGGATGGTGAAACTTGCATCCAGCCAACCAGTAAAGCAAGGCGAATCAATTCAGGCATTCTTGAAAGTCGGGACAATCCTTGTCTTGCAAATTATATATATTTTCAAATGTAACAATGTTTTTTTGCAAGGAGTAGGCATAGAATTAAAATAGCGGAACCCTGCCCTATGGGCGGTAAATCATTGGATCTGATTAATTTGATTCAATGCAATTCAATCTTTGATGACTGCAACTATAGAAATAACATTTATGAGCCATTGTCAAATTCCCATCTGGTTATTTTGCTCCCAGCTCACTGTCAACCTGTTTACATATAGGCTATGGATTTCATACAGAAACATAATTTGTTTGCAAATGCAACTGGGGCCATTACATCACGTGCCCTGCATACCTTTAAAATGATTCGGCACTCATCATTTATTCGAAAAACACAGTTTCCAACAGCTGCATGCCTTCCTCCCTCCCTCTCCATTCATATGTGGTTGTTTGTGTCTCAATGTACATTGTATGTTCCCATCTCTCTTCCTCAATTTCACCATCACATGCATATCAAATGATTGTCCTAAATAAACAACCTATTTTCATCCTGAAAAAAAACCAATACAAAATCATGGTAGCTTGTTGGGTGTCCAAAATAATAACCCACATATATGCACCTTTTGTGCAAGCTTGATATTCATCACAGCCAACAGTACCTCTACTTAAGGTCTGACTGTGTGGGGTCCGCATTTGTGTGTGTGTATATACACACACAACCGGCACAGCTGGTGTCAAAGTTCAGGTTAGAAGACTGGAGCGATATTGCCCCATGGGAGCATCTTTCAGAGGTTTACCCAAGCAGGAAGTGAAGGAACCCCTCTGTCTATTAGGTGTCAAAGTCCAATGAGCACTCCATATTCACATGGAAATGAAGGGGTGAGGGGCTGCACCCACTGGAATACCTTTTTTGGGGGGGGGGCACTAGACTCAATTCCCGTAAAGGAGAGGGGGGGGGGGGGGGGGGGTAAATCACCACTATATACCTAGGGAGAAAGAGTGGCGGGAGGTTTGAGGACTGGCTGACCCTGCTATTGCTGTTTTTGACTACTAGTCTAGGATACTCATTTTCAACCTGTCAGAATACGTAGTATGGCTTTCTTCGTGGATAGAGAGCGAGTGCTTTGGATTGCCTCGTGGTTGCTAGATATTTCTCCCATATAGACCACCACCCTGTTAAATGTGTGGGTTGCTAAGCAACCACATGTTGCCTACTCTGAACTTGCATGGGCCTCTCTGATCATAAGGACAATTGTTGAACAACAAAATGACGTCCCTTTTAAATCCAGCATGTGTGACAATATCTCCTCTAGGCTATAGCATCTTGTTCCCAGTGTTGTACCTGAAAGCAGTTATGGATTGGAGTGGGAAGGGTTGCTGGTGAATGTAGCATGTTCCTTGGGAAGGACACCAACAGGGCCATAACAGATAGGCAAAAGGTTTGAAACACTCAGTGCAAATCACATTATCAACCCCTCTGCAACATCAATGCATGCTTTCCAGTCTTCTTTTACTGTGGCCACTTATACAATTACAAGTGCTTGAGGTTCAAAGGTTGTTAAAAGATTATCTTATCTTAAAGTGCTCATTAAGGGGTCCTAGTCTCAACATCCACAACTGATAGCCGATGATAGTAAGATCATTAACCCATAAGAGTCTAAGCCCTGTATAAGCTGGGGGAGGGGGTTCTACTAAGCTACAGTACGTGTTTGTGAGAGTCTCACCTTCCCATAGAGGGGTCATAATAGTTTTTGTAGGCCAAACCGTTCGGACACTACAGACGATTTTGTGAGAAGACCAATTTTCGGGATGTCTCATGGTCTGACAAACACCGCTTTAGCTCTGTCACCTTTCACCACAGATGCGTAAGTGCGACATAAGCGGATGCGGTGGATTGAGACGCAGCCAATGCAAAAAAACAGATCTCTCCAGCTTAAACTGTGGATTTTTATGGGGATTTTTTATTATGCTAATTAGATAACCGTGGGAGCGTGACCTTTTAACAGGTTAACATTCACAAGGCCGCAGGGCCAGACGGATTACCAGGACGCATACTCAGAGTATGCGCTGACCAGCTGGTAAGTGTCTTCACTGACATTTTCAACCTGTCCCTGACTGGTTGAAAATTATAGTCCCTGTGCCCAAGAACGCCAAGGTAACCTTTCTAAATGACTATCGCCCCGTAGCTCATCTGTAGCCATGAAATGCTTTGAAAGGCTGGTCATGGCTCAACACCATCATCCCAGACACCCTGGACCCACTCCAATTCGCATACAGCCCTTCAGTAGTGCCTGCTTAGTCCTCTCCTGTACTCCCTGTTCACCCACGACTGCATGGCCATGCACAACAACTACATCATTAAGTTTGCTGATGACACGACGGTGGTAGGCCTGATCACTGACGACGATGAGACAGCCTATAGGGAGGAGGTCAGAGACCTGGCAGTGTGGGAGAGGACAACAACCTCTCCCTCAACGTGAGCAAGACAAAGGAGCTGATCGTGGATTACAGGAAATCTGATTGTGGACTATCTGCACCATTGAGAGCATCTTGACTGGCCGCATCACCGCTTGGTATGGCAACTGCTTGGCATCTGACCGCAAGGCACTACAGTGGGTAGTGCGTACGGCCGAACTCTCTGCCACCCAGGAACTCTATACCAGGCGATGTCAGAGGAAGGCCCTAAAAATGGTCAAAGCCACCCAAGTCACAGACTGTTCTCTCTGCTACCGTACGGAAAGCGGTACCGATGCACCAAGTCTGAACCAACAGGACCCTGATCAGCTTCTACCCACAAGCCATAAGACTGCTAAATAGTTAGTTAAATAGTTCACCAAATAGCTACCCGGACTATCTGCACTGACCCTTTTTGCACTAACTTTTTGACTCCTCACATACGCTGATGTTACTGTTTACTATCTGTCAGTTTTATTCCTAGTTCTTTGTACATACTCTACGTGGCCATAAGTATGTGGACACATGCTTGTCGAACATGTCATTCCAAAATCATGGGCATTAATATGGAGTTGGTCCCCCCTTTGCTGCTATAACAGCCTCCACTCTTCTGGGAAGGCTTTAAACTAGATGTTGGAACATTGCTGTGGGGACTTGCTTCCATTCAGCTACAAGAGCATTAGTGAGGTCTGGCACTGATGTTGGGCGATTAGGCCTGGCTCGCAGTCAACGTTCCAATTCATCCCAATGGTATTCGATGGGGTTGAGGTCAGGGCTCTGTGCAGGCCAGTCAAGTTCTTCCACACCAATCTAGACAAACCATTTCTGTATGGACCTTGCTTTGTGCATGGGGGCATTGTCATGCTGAAACAGGAAAGAGCCTTCCCCAAACTGTTGCCACAAAGTTTGAAGCACAGAATCGTCTAGAATGTCATTGTATGCTGTAGCGTTAAGATTTCCCTTCACTGGAACTAAGGGGCCTAGCCCGAACCATGAAAAAACTGCCCCAGAGCTTTATTCCTCCTCCACCAAACGTTACAGTTGGCCCTATGCATTGGGGCAGGTAGCGTTCTCCTGCCATCCTCCAAACCCAGATTAGTCCGTTGGACTGCCAGATGGTGAAGCATGATTCATAACTCCAGAGAACGCGTTTCCACTGCTCCAGAATCCAATGGCGGCGAGCTTTACACCACTCCAGCCAACGCTTGGCATTGTGCATGGTGATCTTAGGCTTGTGAGCGGTGTTCAGCCATGTAAACCCATTTCATGAAGCTCCCAAACGAACAGTTATTGTGCAGACATTGCTTCCAGAGGCAGTTTGGAACTCGGTAGGGAGTGTTGCAACCGAGGACAGACGATTTTTACACGCTTCAGCACTCGGCAGTCCTGTTCTGTGAGCTTGTGTGGCCTATCACTTTGCGTCTGAGCCATTGTTTCTCCTAGATGTTTCCACTTCACAATAACAGCACTTACAGTTGACCGGGGAAGCTCTAGCAGGGCAGAAATGTGACGAACTGACTTGTTGGAAAGGTAGCATCCTATGACGGTGCCACGTTGAAAGTCACTGAGCGCTTCAGTACGGGCCATTCTTCTGCCAAAGTCTGTCTATGGCTGTGTGCTCGGATTTATACACCTTTCAGCAACGGGTTTGGCTGAAATAGCCAAATACGAGCATTTGAAGGGCTGTCCACACGCAACACTACATTAACAAAACTATCTAACTCAATTACCTCGTACCCCTGCACATCGACACAGTACTGGTACCTCTTGTATATAGCGAAGTTATCGTTACTCATTGCGTATCTATTACTACTTGTTTAACTTTTTCTACTATTTCTCTATTTTCTTTCTCACTAAGCATTTAACTGCTAGTCCACACCTGTTGTTTACGAAGCATGTGAGGAATAAAACATTGTTTAAATTGATTTGAAATTTCATTTGATCATGCAGGCCCATATTAGTTTGAGACATGAAATACTAGACAGTAACTGTTGCGTGTGGGCACCTGTTGTCCCACTGTTGTAGAGCCTAATCACTACACTACCCCTTTCTCTCGCTTCATTCATGTCATTGTCCTGTCCCGTTTGTGATAGGCTGATCCCCGCCACACACACACACACACACACACACACACACACACACACACACACGCCAGATACTATCCCGGGTTCAAGTTTCAAGTTTTAATCAAGGCACATTAGAGTAGAGGTAGCGCGTTCGGGCTGGCCCTGTGCGAGGACTCTCCGCTGTGGCCCCGGGCGGCTAACCTTGACGTTTGAACTTCAATCGGACTGACAATGAAACGCCACGGTTCAATATCAAAATATGTTTCAATTATCAAATAAAAACACTAGTGCAGCATTTTACTTTGAAAGTCGTTTGGAAAAAAACGAAATTATATAACTTTGAGAAGAACCACAAACATACCTGACCCATATTCTTATAGCCATATTTGCCCGCTATCCGATCAGCGATGTCGGGTCCACCGTTTATCCGTACAGCCCAATGGTTGCTGTAAATCCGAGCTTTGCACGGGGCAGACGTAAAACCAAGCAAGAGCGCCAGGATGCACATCAAGACTATTCTCAAAGCGGCGTTCCAAACCATCTTCCTCTACTTTTCCCCCGAGCCTCCCGTGTCTCCCTCCTCCGACTAGGCAAACAATCAAACTTCTCTTCTCGCCGCAGGCAGAGCAAGCAAGATTCTCGTATAACTGTTCGCGCCACATAGACTACACGCAATGAAAGAAAAAAACGGAAACCGAAAATGCCTCAAAAGCCCGTTAGACGGTCTTGTTCTGTGTTCTCCGCGTGCATGGAGAGTTCGAAGTTTGCGTTTGTCTGAGTACTTCTCCTTCGCAACAGTGGGGGTAGTCTGTCTGAATACAGTGCTCTGGGTTAATTTCTTTCCCCCAGAACTCGGATGTTTGTTCTCAATCTCTCTTTAAAGTGGCGAAAAAACTAGCGACACTGAAGAGCAGAAACTAATGCTGCGTTCGTAACCAAGTGGGAGATGGAAATTTACCAATTGAATTCGGAAATACCAGTTGGATGCCTTCATGTACTTTGAACTCGTTGAGAAACGCCAATAGGCTAATGGGCCAACAAGCTGTGTAAACCATAAACTAAAAGTTCAGCTATCATGCTTATAAACACATTATATGGTTCAAAAACCATATTAATAGATTGCTTTTTAGAAATAATGTTTTGTTACATTAACTGCCGAAAATGCTGTTATGGTGGCCATTTCCTTAGTGGGTGACGTCAGAGGTCAGCATGTGGGAGTAGTCGGAGCTCAGGGATAATAGAAGAGTTTCCCACTAGTAATTACCAATTGGAGGGCCGTTGAAATGGATGTTTCCCAGTCATATGTTGTAAAATCCCACTTTCCACTTGGTTACAAATGCAGCATAACCCTCGGGGCTACCAGCGCTCTGCTGGGTCTTAAAGGCACACCAAATTTGATCTCAAGCTGGTCTCTCTGATACTGTATCTAATTTATGACTGAGAGACAGTGTTAGCCCGTTTGAATTGGCCTACTATAGGCTATTGTTATGTTCTAAATGTTTGATATAACAGAATATTGCAGGCTGAGTTAATGTGATTTGGAACAACGTGCCAGACTTTGTTACTTTGTAGGCCTAACTATTTAAATTGTTACAAATAATTTCCGTTAGCATTGCAACATAGTTGCACAAAACAGGGAAAACATTTTACGCACTGGACTGGGTTTATTAGGCCTATAGCCTAAAAGACAAGATGGAAATTGTGAAAATCCCTTGTGTAGATTGCTATCATGAAGATCCCAAGCCAGTAATAACTCATTATTGCCGCCACCTCTCTCATCAGTGTTCAGCTTCATTAAAGATGTCACGGTAGTAGGCTAATGGTGTCATTATTGAGGTTGGCGTTATTTGTCGGCCAATTTGAGGCCTATTGATTCATAGGTTCTTGTTTTCGTAGCAGTTGCTTGGAGTAACACCGCAGCATGCCAGGGACGGTGCACACAGAAAAACTCTGTTCCGCCTCAAACACAAGCAGCAAATCAGCATAATTGCTCTAATTGCGGCCAATTTCTTGGTGAATGGACCCCGCTGTCAAATCTAACAACAAGTAGGGGACAATAATATCTCACGGTTCTCCAAAATGAGATGAAAGGAACCAGAACACTCCATGACCGCGAGCATTCAGTGCAAGGACAGACTTGTAATTTAAAGCATTGAAAGGAGAAAAAACAGGCAATGATTTGAGAATGAAATCAACTACCCAGCTCACGAGCCCCACATTCACTGTGTGGCCTCACTGCTGGGGGGCCAAATCCAGCCCCCCTATTCGGGAATGAACCGAGTGAACCCCACAAAACATCTTTGTCGACACCATCTGAGAGAGCAGTAGCGAGTGACAACAAACATTAGCATTCCTGCGTACATTCCTGCTCAAGTTCATTGAAATGTTCAAGATCGAGCCTACATCCACCATTGAGACGCCACTATTAGCCTATTTTGAGCCATTGTGTGACACGGTACTAGTTGAGCTGGATAGAAACATAAAGTCTGAGGCAACAGAGTTATACCAGCCTATATAACCTAAATATATTATCTTCACATAAGGGGGGCTTGGTTCTTTAGTTGGGCCCCATTATTGGGTTTTCTCTGTCATGAAAAGGCCTCCTCAGTTTTATTCACCTGTACATGGAATATATTGAAGATATGGTTGAAGATTTTTGTTAAAGTGCCCCCTTAAAAATACAAAGCCAATCATATTGCTATACAGGGGCTATCTATTGCACAACATATTAAACATTAGTCCTCCTACTACAACAGTATACAGGGCCAGAGTGATTCATTCCTGAGAAGCAGTAGCCTCATACTACCATGATGATCTTGCAAGCTTACATTCTGTTTTGCTACAAGGATTCAGTGATTGATTGATGAAGTGAAACGAGAGTGCAGCATTAAGGCTGGTTGTGTATCAGGCTAGAGAAGCAGAGCCCTGCTGGAAACCAGAAGCATGAGTTCATTAACAAGTGGCCAAGGTTAATAAGTGTATAGGTTGTATGTTGGGAGCTTTTGGGAAAGAGCACAGTTAGAAAGATATGGCATATAGAAGCAAACCGGATGGACATCATGAAAATGATCAGAGAGGTTGAGAGTAGAAGAAGTTCAGGAGAAAAAACAAACAAAATATAATTATTGTAAAATTGACTGTGTCCATAAAATGTAGATAGTAAGTATAAGCTGGAAGTAGAGGCCTAAGCATTGTTGTTCCCTAATTTACCCCAAGTAGGGAAAGGGTGGCGGGGTTGGAAAGTAATAAAGGGGAGTATATATATAAAAAACATGGGGTATTGGAAGTGATGCAGACAATTAGATTGATGGAAGTTACAATCTATCTGCAATATTAAGCTGATCTACCCCCCAAGGTTATACACATTCATAATGATCAAGACAAATCAGGATGGAGATAGCCAGTCATGGCTTTTTAATAAGAAGGACTATTCAAACTGTCTGTCTCACGCTACCTCTCTCTCTATTCGGACCTTCCTTTCTTCTTTCCTCTTGCTTGCACCCTCCTTCCCCACTCTCTCTCTGGGTGGGCTTCCAGAAAGCGAGATTTTACTTTGACCTCTGACCCAAGAGCTGTGTAGACTTCTGCAGTTGAGCACAATGGCACCAGCCACTCACCCTCCCTCGTCCTGTCTCGTTTGGATCGGAATATGGAGCTCTATTCTGTGGGCCACAAGATTCTTCTTTGTTTTGTTGAAATATAATATATATGGATACATACAGTACTACTACCTTCTATCATGTAGCTCAGAGAACACTGTCTGCACCTACACATAATCAGGGTACTTGTATATGGTAAGACAGTTGTATGGGTCATTCCACAAAATGAGTGCCTTTGCGTCCCTTTAATATTTTAAGTAGAAATTGTGCACCAACATAGAATTTAAAAGCTTGTTATATTCAATGAAGTGCCCTTTAATATAGACCACATGGGCTGCGTTTACACAGGCAGCCCAATTCTGATAATCTTTTCACTAATTGGTCTTTTGACCAATCAGATCAGCTCTGAAAAAGATCTAATGTGAAAAGATCTGATTAGTCAAAAGCCCAATTAGTGTAAAAAAAGATCAGAATTTGGCTTCCCCTCATAATATTGGTGTGCTGGATGATGGAATACTAAGAAATATTCAGCATAAAGTTGATGCACTGGAAGTACCTGCAGACATGGGCCAACTACCTGCTAAAATCAGGGTGGAACAATTTGACATGCATTTACTCCTTATTCGCTATTAAAAACTATCTAGAGTCAATTTCCCTGCCCCTGTGGAAATCTAATTAGCACTTTTTAAAATCCCCTAAAAATCTGTCTGTTTAAGCTAGAGGTATATTTTTTTGCATGGGATGCATCTCAATCCACAACATCCGCAGATATCAGCCTTCCGCATCTGCGGTGAATGGTGGCAGAGCTATAGCCACCGAAAATTGGTCTTCTCACGAAAACGTCTGTAACGGTTTACATTTACAGTTTAGTCATTTAGCAGACGCTCTTATCCAGAGCGACTTACAGTTAGTGAGTGCATACATTATTCTTTTTTAATACTGGCCCCCCGTGGGAATCAAACCCACAACCCTGGCGTTGCAAACGCCATGCTCTACCAACTGAGCTACATCCCTGCCGGCAATTCCCTCCCATACCCTGGACGACGCTGGGCCAATTGTGCGCCGCCCCATGTGTCTCCTAGTCGCGGCCGGCTACGACAGAGCCTGGATTCGAACCAGGATCTCTAGTGGCACAGCTAGCACTGCGATGCAGTGCCTTAGACAGTACACACGTAGCATAAGGTAACCAGACCACTGCGCCACTCGGGAGACCTAGGGTTTGGCCTTCTATGGAAAGGTGAGTCTCTACAACCCCCACAAGTGTCACGGGACTCGTCTGAAATCATTACCGCCGATCTGCCAACTTCTGTCTGTAGCTACCGAACAGTTTGGGCTACACACTAATATGACCCCTCTATCACAGGTGGCCGGTGGTACCATAATTGGGGAGGACGGGTTCATAGTAATGGCTGGAACAGAATAAGGGAATGGTATCGAACACATTAAAACACATGGTTTCCATGTGTTTGAAACCATTCCATTTACTCCATCCCAGCCATTATTATGAGCCGTCCTCCCCTCAGCAGCCTCCTGTGCCCTCTATGGAAAGGTGAGTCTCTGTTTTTCCATGTATGAATCTGTCATTTAATGTGTTTCTATGGGCTAATAGCAGTAATGCCAAATTCAATGTTTCATCACATAAACATTTGATGTATAAAAAAAAAATATGTATTCACTAACTGTAAGTCGCTCTGGATAAGAGCGTCTGCTAAATGACTAAAATGTAAATGTAATGTACATTTTTTTATACCTAAAGTGGTCCTAAAATTCCAAATCAAATAGCTAAATGAACTAGGTTATATTATAGGCCTACTACTTGGTGGAGCATGGCGTTTGCAATGCCAGGGTTGTGGGTTCGATTCCCACGGGGGGCCAGTATGATAATGTATGCACTCACTAACTGTAAGTCGCTCTGGATAAGAGCGTCTGCTAAATGACTAAA